CAACCACTCGCTCGACGCCCAGCCCATCATGACGGCTACCACAAGCACCACGACCACCACCGCGACTGCAGCGACGGCCGGCGGCAACAAGGCCGACCGACGGAACACGCTGGTCCAGATGCACGGCGGGCAGAGCTCGATGGCCTTCTTCACGGGCCTGCGACAGGGCGCCCAGCAGCTGCTCTCCGGCGCCCCGCAGGCGCCGCCGCCGCCGTCGTCCGACGACATCGCCGCCACCGAGCCGCGCACGATTGAGGAGCACCTGCGCGGCGAAGGCGCCCTGGCGGCGGCCGGGACTGCGGCGGCGGCCGGGGCTGCGGCCGCTGGCGCCGAGGCTGGTGGCCAGGCGGGGCCGGCGGTGGCTGGGCCGCCGAAGACGATGGCGGAGCTGGCGCGGGTGGTGGGCGCGGAGGGCCTGGACGAGTACCTGGCGATGCCCCTCGTGCAGCTGATCTACGAGCTCCACCAGCTGAAGCTGCTGCACACGGCGGCGACCCTGGACAACGACCAGCCGCGCGGGTCCAACGAGAGCGGAAGCGGAAAGACGAGAAAGTGAAGAAGAAGAAACCAACATCAACTGTAACAAACATATATTTATATTTATGTTCATAGCTGGCTACCACGACGCAGTTCTTCGTCTTCGTCTTCGTAGCGGAAGGCCTACCTCCGGGCCTTCTTGCGTTCCTGGGCGAGCTTCTTCTTTTTCTCCTGCTTCTCCTTCTTCCGCCGCAGCTCCTCCTCCATGTCCTTCCTGTCCTCCAACGCGCCCAGGCGAGCACTACACACGTTTCACACACGACACACGCTCTGTCAACCGCACGACACGACACGCACACGACACACAACACGACACGACACGAACCTGCGATTCTCTTCGGCGAGGGCGTCGCGCCAGGAGACCTCCATGGCGGCGTCGTCAAAGTCGTCTTCGTCCTCCCAGTAGTTGCGCCCCTTGGCAAACGCGCGGCACAGCTCCTGCAGCTCCCGCCGCGAGGCCTGGTGGTGGTCCTCGTCGTCATCATCCAGGAACGAATCTTCGTCTTCCTCGTCTTCTTCCTCCTCTTCCTCCTGCTCGGCGCACAAATCGCACAACCACAAATGAGTGTCTCACGCGTGTGCGGTCGTGTGCGCGCGTGTGCGGTCGTGTGTGCGGTCGTGTGTGTGCGGTCGTGTGTGTGCGTACGTAGCGACTTCGCTTGTGTGCGCCTCTTGATAAAGTGGCGGAACCGGTCGAGGCCGTGCGCTTGTGCGCCGACGTCGACGAACCGCTGCGGCCGCCGCTGGTGGTGGTCCGCTCCAGGCTTCCGCTGCGGCCGCCG